CTGAGTTTTCGAGATCTGCAAAAGCAATTCTTCACATCATACAAAATCCCGCTGAATTCAATAATTGTTTTATTATCCATTCAAAATATTTGTAAGTTCTAAACAACCTTACCTCCTCCAGCGTAGACTTTCCTCAAACATTTGCCTGTTTCTTGGCACGGCCGGTTTGCATGACAGAGTTATTTCATTTCAAAGGCTACGAGAAATAACCTATCGAATGGATAGCCTGCGTAGCAGGCGCTTGGTAGTAGTGAGCGAAACAGAGAACGGGCGCGCGCGAGGGAGACACGCGAGGGGTGATTGCTCCCTCTCCCCTCGCTTGTCTCCTTCTCGTGCGCCCGTTTTTTCTTGTGCCCACTACTTCCAAGCGCCTGCTACGCAGGCTATCGAATGGATGGATTATTGCCTACATTATCCAAATGTCGTAAGCGCTGGCTGGTTGTGAAGAGTAAGCCGGGGAGCCAATGAGAAACGACGAAATATTTTGAATGAATAATAATTACAATTTTTTTGTCATCCACTCTCCTTCGGCGAGTTGACACTTAAGCCAGTTGAATTACTACCTTTGTTTGCTTTTCTTTGCAGAACTGTTGGCCCAACTGTGTTTGTGAGGACGCTTGGAACAACACATACTCGTGCGTTCGCTCAGTGAGTTCGAAGGAGGACATGATGTACTGCGAGTTCGAGGACAAAGAGGTAACCTGCTCCTTGCAATTTAAAGTGAAAAGACTAACTGCCGTGTCCTTAATACAAGCGGACGAGCAGGCGTACACACAACTGCACATGACTCCCATCCATACCAATGAACACATTAACTTATAATCAAACGACGTACGCTTTTTGTGGTTGAAAAGTTATCCACGCAGCCTGTCTTCCCCTTAGAAAAAATAGGACGAGGCCCGTTCGTCGACTTTTATAGGAGGCAGTACTTGGTATAGCCTCCAGTCCTACGCAGCCGTTCAAAGAACGACTGTGGCTAGGTAGAGTAAAAGTGGTTTTAGGAAGGCCATGTGACTAGATTCCTCTCTCCAGCTCTTCTTATCTTTTTAGCTTTGTCTTTTTGTCTCACTGAAGTCTTTTTTTTATCCATAACGTTTTGTTTGCGTGCTAGGCAAACAGAGGAAACTTCACAACGGTCAGCCGACTAGCAATCTTCGAAGTTAATGTTATGCTTAGGATGGCCTGCTCAATTATCCTTTGGTGTTTTGAAGGGTAGCACATGTACATACAGACAGTATACCTATGTAATGGTTAGTAGTGATGGTGTTGTCATGTTTGATCTTATTTCACTCATTTTTTCCTGAACTTTAGGCATTTTTGGAGCTCTACGATGTAAAGAAAGACCGTCATCAACTAAAGAACTTGAACAAAGATGTTCCGCCTAAATTGGGGGGGGGGTGCATATTTTCTGTAACTTCACAATCCTTCATAATACTGTTTTAATTACCTCAATAGACTAAACATTGGCTCATTAGAAGGGCCCCACATCCCATGAAGGATTCCTCCATCCAAGCCTCAGATGACATCTTCAGAAACAGGTATGGACTCTCTTTTGAGCGTTAAGCTGGAACTAGAGAGCGTTTTCACTCACGTTGCTACAGCTATGCAACGCCATCCCACCCAACAAAACGGTGCGGATCATTTGGATCCGATTTTGAGTCTCGCCAATCTGTTTTTATCTGTTTTCAACGGGTTCATTGGTGGGTTTCGATCTTATTGTGACCAAAACCCGACGCTAATATTCCAAATATTTTTGATAGATTTCATCCCTGGACTTCAGACTTCCAAAGATGAGGCAAAAATACTGAAGATTCAGATTAACTTTTGAGATCGTAAAAGTGCGGTAAACTGCCGTGTGCTAGCAGAGCTTTCTTTCCCACATGCCTCTTTCCTTGTACAAGACGTTCGCATGCCAGACATTCGCCTCGCTTTGCTTGTTTACTTGCCTTGTTTACGTTAGCAGCGTGCCTATTGCACATTTGCGTCAAAACAAGCCGTTTCCATCACTCTATTTGGGCCACGGCCAAATAATAAAAGAGGACATTAGTATTCGTCAAATTGCACATCCCTGTAACTTTCACAAATCCGTCATTCTGCGGACTAAATACACGGAAACACCCAAAAATCGCTCATCTGTACATTGCTTAATCAAAAACGGTCTCTGCATAACTCGTTTGATGCCAAAATAGTCTGAAATTGGCGTCTTCAAGTCATCGTATCCGGTGTGCGGTAGCACTGAGAACATCGACGTGCTGTTTAAATAACTGAAGGTTTTTTTCACGTTCAAAAACAAGGAATGGTTTATTAAAACACACAGTTGATAATGAAGCGTCTGCAGTAGCAAGGTTGACCTTCTATGAGAATCTGTTGACTGAGCAAGAAACAAGTATCGATTGTCCGCATTAACGGGTGTCCGTATTAAACGGGTTAAATTTAAAGAAAATGTATGGGCTAAACTATCAACAAACATAGCCAAGAACTGCAGTTGAGTGCAATGCGTAACCTTGACAACGCTAAGAGTGGCATCCACCCAGACACCTTCACACTACTAACAAGTGGAACCTAACATACTTGCCATAATTATACTTACCGAAGAGGGGGGGAAGAGGGGGGAGGGTAGGGAGCAGAAAAACACTTTAAAAGCACAAGCCACGACCGCAACGACACGCAAACGTAATGGTCTGACCTCAAGAGAAAGGCCGGTCATGGCCTGTCTTCGGAAAGGAAGCTCCGGTTTAACATCGCCCAAATTTCATTTACCCACATTTTATTTTTTATAAACACATTAACCCCTGTGAAGAAATTAGGGAACCCCCGCATGTCTTTACGAGAGACGGCTGGCCAGCCATGTCTCCGGTCAGGAAGCTCCGGTTTAACTTGACTTAGGCTAAATTTCATTTCGCCACATTTTATTTATTTAATTATTTATCTATTTATTTGTTTATTTATTCATCTATTTATTTCAAGGTGGCGCACGCTGTTATCTGTTGACGATTTAGTCGAAGAGGTCATCACAACACTGGATGCTGGAAAACTCTTGAACAATACGTACGTTATATTCTCATCGGATAACGGCTTTCATCTTGGTAAACGTTACTTTATTCATATACTAATAAGTATTTCGTTCAGTGCAAGAATGATCTTATTCTTTAATAGCCTGCGTCAAGGGAGAGACTGCTGTCAGTTTCCGCCGTATAGTAACGAGTAAACTAAAGGAAAAAACATTGAAATTAGAGTGTAATACTGCGTCGGTATTAATCTACTATCTATTTCATGGGCTAAGCAAAATCACTCAGCCCAGTTGTTCGAAGGTCGATTAGCGCTAACCCAGGGTTAGATTTTACTGGAACCTGGGTGTCTTTTTCCTTTTTTCAAAAACATGCATTTTCCCGGATAATTTTCTCTATTCTTTTTAGAGCATCCAATCATCAAATGGTAGGCAAAGAGAATAAGACTGAATTTGCTTTTTAAGCTTTCGTATCTGAATTCAAATTTCCCACTAACCCTGGGTTATCTTAACCCTACTTTGAACAACTGGCCCAGGAGAGGAAGTGTACGACAAATTGAAAAATTCGGGTCAGGTTGTGCAGCATCATGAAGCATCGTATTCTTCCGTCCCAAATTCAGACCATAACATTCGCTTTCCCAGGCTACCCTTTATTTCACAGCTAAACCGTCATTCTCCTCTTTATTTCTCAATTTTTACCTTTGTGTCCTCGCCGCAGGTCAATTTAGTCTTCCTCAAGATAAGAGGCAGCTGTATGAGTTTGATGTCCGCGTGCCTTTTATGATCAGAGGTCCAGGGCTGAAGCCAAAGCAAACTTCACAGGTGAGCGTCAGGTCGAACTTACTACAGCTTATAAATGCTTACCTGGTTTCCTCTCTTGTTTTGCCTGGAAGACTGATCTGTTTTCGCTACATTAGGGAGCTTAAGCAACGACGACGGCGACGGCAACGAGAACGGCAAAAAACAAAACAACAACTTCATCAANTCTGAATTCAAATTTCCCACTAACCCTGGGTTATCTTAACCCTACTTTGAACAACTGGCCCAGGAGAGGAAGTGTACGACAAATTGAAAAATTCGGGTCAGGTTGTGCAGCATCATGAAGCATCGTATTCTTCCGTCCCAAATTCAGACCATAACATTCGCTTTCCCAGGCTACCCTTTATTTCACAGCTAAACCGTCATTCTCCTCTTTATTTCTCAATTTTTACCTTTGTGTCCTCGCCGCAGGTCAATTTAGTCTTCCTCAAGATAAGAGGCAGCTGTATGAGTTTGATGTCCGCGTGCCTTTTATGATCAGAGGTCCAGGGCTGAAGCCAAAGCAAACTTCACAGGTGAGCGTCAGGTCGAACTTACTACAGCTTATAAATGCTTACCTGGTTTCCTCTCTTGTTTTGCCTGGAAGACTGATCTGTTTTCGCTACATTAGGGAGCTTAAGCAACGACGACGGCGACGGCAACGAGAACGGCAAAAAACAAAACAACAACTTCATCAAGTATCACGCTTTTTCGTACTTTTCTTTGCCGTCATTGCATGATTACGACGTGAAACTGCCTCATTTCACGTTTTTTGGCGGACGTAAACACAAGACGTCGACTTTTTTTCCTGAACTTCGATACAAACTCAGTTTAGAATTTAACTCCAGAAAAATTTGCCAACATTTGACGAATTGAACGAGGTGGAATAAACGTGATAAATTTTGCTTAAGCTCCCTAGTTATTAACATACAGAGGACTCTTTCCTTATGGAAACCTCTCTATAACTGACGGCTTGTTTAATTCAAAAGATGCCAACCTTCATATAATTCCTCCCTTTGTATTGAGGATAATGGCTCTGTCCCATTGGTGTCGCGCGCCTTCGTCACTGCTTTTCGCGTTTTCGTTGCCAAACCTAGCTAATGCGAATGGTCATACCCCAGTCAGGTGTTCCTCTGTCTTGGCCTCACTATTAGTTGAACTGTCACTCGATTAAAGCCTTCTGGGGTCAGATGGTGGAGGATATAAGAGCTTTGGGGCCCTTTTTGTGGGTTTGTATTCTCTCTTTGCATAACAAAGGTTCTTTTCTTTCAGAGTCCAATTCTCAACATTGATATAGCGCCGACAATAGTGGAATTGGCTGGAGGAAAGGCCCCCGAATCCATGGACGGGCGCTCGATTTTACCTCTTTTGGTATGTTCTTTTGAACCTTTGTTTACATTTTTTTCTCCTCGTTTTGCTGTTGTTGTCATTTGCCGTTGTTTAAGGGCGCTTCCCAAAAGTCAGAACTGGCCGGCCAGAGCGGTCATTTTGATAGTGCTGGTTAATAGAGACCTTTAGCATCAGGTTTTTTTTTGGGAAACCGCAGACCGCAAACCGCGATCTGCAGTTTGAAGTTACGCGTTTGCAGTTTCACTTTTTCAGGATTTCGAATTTTGGCAAATTATAAAGCGTTTGTTGTTTAGTGCCGCCATGTTGATTTTCGTCACGTCGCAGTGCTTCTTTTTTATCTCCTGATTCGAGTTCAAAAATCTAACTGGAATATCTTAAATCGTGAGTGAATAAATAACACTGCTTTAGAGCCAATCAGAAGGTTTACTGGTGATATTTCAAAATGGACGTAGCAAACATTAATGGTAACAGAATTTGCTTTCGACTGATTATGTGTGTATTGAATTATCATTATACTAGTTTAATGCTGAACTCAGGACTCCTGATAGCCAATCGCGTTGAGGATTTTGTTATAGGCACTGCCTATAGCCAATCAGATTCGAAAAATGTTGTTATTGTTATCATGGGGACTGCGTATAGCCAATCAGATGCGAAGAAGTTTGTAATAGTTATGATGGAGACTGCCTCTAGCCAATCAGATTCGAAAACAGTTTTGTTATAGTTATGAATACACGCATTCACTTTTGTTTCAGAAGTCGGATGTTGAGCTCGAACAACAAGAGGTGAGTTTAAGAAACACTTTTAGTTCCTTTAGAGTTCTTTTCTATAGAACGCATACAGTATATGTTTCTTTAGCTCACTACAGATAGTCTTCATCCGTGCACTACAGATTCTTTGCTCAGTTATATTGTTTACGGACATTGGTATTTTTCTACGAACGCAGCAATCACACGATACGCAAGTTTCGAATTAACGAAAACACATCTGGCTCCAGGGCTGAGTGGAGGAAAACAAAAGAAATTGATCATTCATCCCTAAATCTCAATGCAGTTTTCGGAGCCAAGCACGAGTTTTAATAATTCGAGACTGGCGTATTGCCTTGCTTCGTGCTAAATGTTGTGCCACAGTGTCCCCAATCCGTACCACAGCCATCCTTGAACTTCCACTATCTCTCCAGTCGCAGCACTGCTAAACCAAGTAGCCTTTGTGGTAGACGCGGGGAAGGGAAGGGGGAGAAAGTACGAAAGGGGGAGGGAGACCCCCTTCGACGTTTCCAAATCGGCTAGGCTTATAATGAAGGGGGGGGGGAATGTGCGTTTCAAAATCGGCTAGGCTTATAATGAGGGGGAGGGGGTGGTGGGGGGCGGAAGTAGTATGCGTCTCAAAATCCATTGGGCTAGCTTATAGTTGGAAAGGAGTTTATGTCAGTAATTCGTCCTAAGGACGCAGATCTTTCTAAAACTCAGCCATGCAAGTACTTTGCCTATATGGTCCGAGGAAATCCAAGACAAGACTGAAGAGTGAACTATGCAAAGAGTAGATATACTGTGACGCTTTTTTACGGCAGTCATTTCGCACACGTTCTTTTGTAAATGCAAAACTTTATCACTGAACAGATTTTGCTTTGTTTTATTTTGAATTTGAGGGCAATTTCCGAGTACAAGCCCCCGGGGGCTTGTATTTGGAGGGGCGATTTATCGGAGGGTTTTTTTGCGTTACGAGTTTAGGGGGCTTATATTTGGAGGGGCTTATACATGGAGGGGCATATGCATGGTAGTTAGCGCCTGACCTCAGATGATAATTATGTTGAAGATTGAAGTATAACGGGTGGTTTACGTTATGTGTAGTCTTGCAATCCTCTCTCTGTTCCCTTTTCACTTCCTCCCCTACCCCATTCGACGCCTACAACGCAGACTACAAATCGAGCCAATATAACGTTTATTAGCTATCGTACCGACGCAGTAATAAAAACCTCGAGGAAGTAAAAAAGCTGAAATTATACTGAAAGTATCATTTGCTTGCTTCTTGTTCAGGATGTAGCTTGGCGTACAGATTTTCTTATTCAGCATTACGGGGAAGGTGAAGTAAAGATTCCAGGATGTCCAGAACTTTCTTCAGGCGTCTTTGTAAGTCTTTTTATATAAATTTATCTGATCTTAGTTATTCTGTTTTGATTCCCTGAAGTAAGTTACCCCGCTCTTCTGACTGAGTCGTCAGAGAGGTTTAATAATTTCTCGTTATGTTTACGACAAACAGCAGAGATGACTGTATGATTACAAGTGTATAGCACAACAGCAAATAACAATAATTGTCCCTCAAGTTTTCATGACGGTTAAAAAGCTCATTCTCACGTTGAAAAGATCACAAGGCAAAAAACAATTCGTCATGCAATTTATCATAGGCCCGAGGGGGGGGGGGGGAACTCCCATACGAAAGCGGCGGGGATGGTCGCCGGAAATTTTGAATTAAACCCCTAAAGGAGACCAATCTGGGCGTGGCCCAACCTTTTTTTCGACCCCTAAAAGCGATCATTTTAAACTTTGATTACACAAGTTGAGTAAATGAAATGAATTGAAAATATATAATTTTTTAACATTTCTTCGAGTGCAACCCTAAAAGAGACCTTTACGGCTAAATATAATGGTGTTTTGCCCAGAACACCCTAAGCGAGACGATGAGCATCCCCGCCCCTTTCATATGGGAGTCCTCCCCGGAATTATAGGGACGTTTGATACGTTTGACAATTATTGAGTAAGGATGAGTATGTTGTGAAGAATTAAGCAGATCGAGGGGGACCTAGGTCAGGGTTATGGTTTCCTGCCGAGTTGGATAACAGCCTCTGAGTTTTCGAGATCTGCAAAAGCAATTCTTCACATCATACAAAATCCCGCTGAATTCAGTAATTGTTTTATTATCCATTCAAAATATTTTTAAGTTCTAAACAACCTTACCTCCTCCAGCGTAGACTTTCCTCAAACACTGGCACGGCCGGTTTGCATGATAGTTTTATTTCATTTCAGAGGCTACGAGAAATAACCTGTCGAATGGATAGCCTGCGTAGCAGGCGCTTGGAAGTAGTGGGCGAAACAGAGAACGGGCGCGCGCGAGGGAGACACGCGAGGGGTGATTGCTCCCTCTCCCCTCGCTTGTCTCCTTCTCGTGCGCCCGTTTTTTCTTGTGCCCACTACTTCCAAGCGCCTGCTACGCAGGCTATCGAATGGATGGGTTATTGCCTACATTATCCAAATGTCGTAAGCGCTTGCTGGTTGTGAAGAGTAAGCCGGAGAGCCAGTGAGAAACGACGAAATATTTTGAATGAATAATAATTACAATTTTCTTGTTGTCTACTCCCCTTCGGTGAGTTGCCACTTAAGCCAGTTAAATTACTACCTTTGTTTGCTTTTCTTTGCAGAACTGTTGGCCCAACTGTGTTTGTGAGGACGCTTGGAACAACACATACTCGTGCGTTCGCTCAGTGAGCTCGAAGGAGGACATGATGTACTGCGAGTTCGAGGACAAAGAGGTAACCTGCTTCTTGCAATTTAAAGTAAAAAGATGACTGCCGAGTCCGTGATACAAGCAACTGCACATGAATTACATCCATGCCAGTAAATACACTAACTTATAATCAAACCACGTACGGTTTTTGTTGTTGAGAAGTTACGCACGCAGCCTGTCTTCCCCTTACAAAAATAGAACGAGGCCCCTTTGACGACGTTTATAGGGGGCAGAGGTATAGTCTCCAGTCCTACGCATCCGTTCAAAGAACGACTGTGATTAGGTAGAGTAAGAGTGGTTGTAGGAAGGCCACGTGACTAGATTCCTCTCCCCAGCTCTTCTTATCTTTTGAGCTTTTTGTTTCATTTAAGTCTTTTTTATCCATAACGTTTTGTTTGCGTGCTAGGCAAACAGAGGAAACTTCGCAACGGTCAGCCGACTAACGATCTTCGAAGTTAATATTACGCTTAGGATGGCCTGCCCAATTATCCTTTGGTATTTTGAAGGGTAGCACATGTACATACAGAACACACACAGTATACCTATGTAATCGATAGCAGTGATGGTGTTGTCATGTTTGATCTTATTTCACTCATTTTTTCCTGAACTTTAGGCATTTTTGGAGCTCTACGATGTAAAGAAAGACCGTCATCAACTAAAGAACTTGAACAAAGATGTTCCGCCTAAATTTCTGGAAGCCAAGCATCGTCGCTTGGTGGATTTGGCGACATGTTCAGGGGCCTCGTGTAGGAAAGCCTACCAAGACGGCGTGGATACTTTGCTTTGAAAAGAGTTCGTCCATATGCCATTTAACTCTCGACGCGAGGTGTTTTAGTTGGGGGTGTGTTTGGGTTGGGGGGGGGGG